AAATGATGACCACATGATTGCAGGACACTACAACCAATGTAAGTGCAAGCCAGTTGCTAAGTGCCCAAATCACAATCAAATGACCATAGTGGTGCTACGATGGCTGGAACTTCAGGGGGTGGTTGCAAGTACCACTCGTTCAGCTCCATGGCAACTTTGGTTATTGAGCAAGTGGTTGAAACTCCGGGACCACCTGTAGTTTCCAAAGTAATTGATAGTCTTAGACATGACTATAAAATAATAAGTATATTCATATATAGTCATAAGTGACCATGATCACGTGATCTGCCTGGATCCATTTTCTTTGCAGTCACTAAGATGGGAACAAGAGATGCAAACAGAATACTTCTTTGACATGTAAAGCACTTTGAAGTGTTGTTAAGGGGATAATTAATGCATTAGATTGTATTAGATTGTAAGCAGTTGGCTTTTCTTGTACAGTTGTTTGGAAAACAAGGTATGACTTTTTTGAAATCTGGGTTTTTTCCCTACAGGATTCAAGCTAAAATTCCTGGACTGAAGCGCAAAACTGAATGAAATCAAGAAGCAACTTTTATTAAAACAAATCATCTTTTAAATGGGGATGGGAGGCATATTCATTTGGATTACATGGGGAGGGTCAGGGAATAGCAAGCCTTGACATTGCAGTGCAGTTTCACAGATCTTTATTTTTTAGGAACAGTGTTTCAGAGGGAGGAAAATAACCTGTTCTTGACTGCTGTGTATGTCCATCCTAAGTATTGTAAGCTGCTACATATGGATTTAGATCTAATCCTGTTTGCTTCTCCCATATGCAGCACAGGTTAACATAACGAGTTGGAGAGCTGTACATTTTATGCTTTGGCCAAGATAGTCTTGTCGTGTTTCAAGAGGGGTTAGTGTATGGAAAACATTTCCTTTAGCACTGTCTCTGGTTTGTGTTGATTGATTGCAGATTTTCTAAAATGAAATGTTTAGAATATGCCATTAAAGCAAGCTTGAAAAGTCTTGCCTTTTTGGTATCAAGTTTAGCTGTACTGTGCTTTTAATTCTACTATTTTATCAATTGCCAATATAAAATTAAATATATAGTGTGTCACAGCTGCTTAGGATGTCCAGCTCCTCCATAGTGATTGAAATACTAGATAAATGAAGTTTTTTTGAGCTCCTTAATATATTAGCTTAAATTTTCAGAAAAAACTAGTATCTATTAAATAAACAAAACCAACTCTGCACATTACAGTTTCTGCCATATCCTTTGCTGCACAAACTCCTATAGTCTATTTTAAGTAAACAAGTTTACAGTTCTCAAACTTTGAATCTGTGGAATGAATTTCTGATGGTGTGATCCTCAGATCCTTGCAGGCAGAACAAGGAACCCCCAGCATGCTTGTTTTCCATTGTGCTTGGAATCCTCAGCATCTGTGCATGGGTCAGTGGATTGTACCCTGATGCTGCAAATGCCATTTGGACATTTCAAATACACGTGGGGGTTTAAGCTGTATTGAACTACGTTTGTGGGATGCATTGTGAAATGTAAAAAGAAAATTTTGAGTTATCAATAAAGTGTATGGACTCATATGATGTGTAAATGTGATTGCACTTAACATGGTTTATCATCATGCTTCACAACTCATGAACAATTATCACTAAAAATGGTTGTGATTTATACCCAACATTAGGAATTTTGTTGATGTGGTTGACATGCACACACACATTACTGTTTGATTTTCTAGTTTAAGCCATAGTTATATTCTAGTTTAATACCACCTTAATTTTTAATGGATTTTGCTATGTATAAATTTTAGTATGACACACAAAATGTAGTATCCCACCAAAATGAAGCAGCAAACTAAGTGCAGTTTTACATGATGCAATTGTATCAATTTGGGGAACTTATTCAACTAAATCTAATATATCTAATATTACTATCATGCTGGTCTTTTTAATAATAACAATTCTAAGGAAAATGGTAGAATATTAAGGTATTTTAAAAGCTTTGCCCTGGAATAACTCAACCACTAATATTTTGCTCTTTTCCACAAGAAGTATACTGTTCCTTCTTTCCAGTAGGCTGGATATTCCCAAAGAAAATCTGGCATCAGTTTTCAAATAAAACTTTTACTGAATCCTTTCAAAAATAAATTCATGCAGTACTATTTCAATTTACATTATAATACAGCATCAAATTTAAGCATAAAGTTCTACATATAAACAAAATTTCTTCCACACACAAATACATTATCTTCAATATTCTTGCACAATTTGACTCTACAGCAGCTCATTCTGTTACAGATTCAAGATGCACTCCATATGAAAGGCCAGCATTACAACAGAGGCAAACAAGGTGACCATCTGACATCACCAGATGGATATGGTTACATTGGCTAAAACGGGAAACTTTCCTTATGAAGAACAAAGGAATAAGACTGCATAGAACACATGTATGAAATAAAGGAGTATAAGGCATTAACCTATTGCATTAATCAAATAACTCACGCACACACAGCAGTCCATTAAATTTACAGAAGCACTTTTGTGTTGTATACATTGAGATTATTATACCAGAAACATGCCCCCTTTCCCCTTTTTCTTTTCTACCGATTGTGAAATAAACTAATGCTACCAAGAACTGAATCTAGGATTGTTTTACTGCATGAGTTAACAGAAAATAAGTTGTACTAGACAAGATCAAAAGCGTCTTAGTCCAGCAATCTATTTCCCTTGGCCTTTGAGAAACCATAAGCAGGATATAAACTCAATAGTACATTCCTGCCTGGTGACCGTCAGTAGTTGCATTCAAGTGTGAGGCATGTTGCCTATGATATTGAAATTAGAAGTATAATCATCCTGATCATTAGCTAGCGAAAAACTGCAGGCTTCAGCAATTTCAATAAGCTCAAGTTCCACAGTTATATGGTCCCCTACCACCACAGAGGTGTATGGTTGCCAATTTATCACTGGATTGTAACAAAAACGTGCCCTTGAACCACTTCATGAAGGGTTTTCCCCCCCCCCCCCTTGAAGTTAAAATGCCATCTTGGCTATTGTTTGGCTGGATAAAAGGTATTGAAAAAGGTACCTCAAATGGGAAAGAAAGGAAGGGTATTTTCATTTTTCATTTCATTCTACCACTTATCTGACACTACCAAATGTAGTGTCAAACTGACTGACCATTATTTTTAATTTCTGCCTTGTACCTTTATTCTTTGCTGTTGATATCAAGAGAGAAGGCTGAAATTTAGTAAAAATAAATTAAAAAATGAACATGGTGACATTTAGGGGAAAAAGTGACTTTGTCAGCCCTAGTCAGTTTGTAGATTTTAGCACCGTGAGCAGAAAGTAGGCAATGGCAGGAGACAATGTTATATCCTGCAGTATCTGAAAAGTTTTCAAAAGGCACTTTGTAGAAAAATGGCAAAAAGAATTTCATCTACTACACTTAATGGAAGAGGGGAAGAGAGCCTTGCTAATTAATTCATTTAAAAAAAAATATTAGCCACGAACCAAAGCCTGCTTTATCATAATGTATCCTGTCTCTAATATGCTTTAGGAATGATGGGACAAGTTTAAGAAATAAGAAAGCTTGTCTTCCCTATATTCACATTGAACTCTTCCATTTTTTAATAGACTGCTGAAGCCTTATCTCCACAATAGACTGAGTCAGGGGTCCCAAATTCATGGCTCTTGAAATAATTTGGGGTGTCCCATTACTTAAGGCCTTGCGACCCCTGAGGTCAGGGACCTATGTACAGATGTGTATGCAGGCACCAAAGCGACTCATTTCAAATCAACCTTATAGTTTTCTTGGCAACAGCTGAGCCTGGTTGGCTGGGCTGTGCAATCCGTGCTCCAATGCCTATTGCACTGGCAGCATCCGCTCCAAGAACACATGCTCTGAAGCAGCACTGAGATCTCCAGGGATGGAGATGGGGCTGAAATGGAGAAGGTTGGAGAAGGGGCCTGGTCTGGCTGCCTTGCTGTGAGAATTCCTAAGCCAAGCAAGGGATCAACCAACAAGTGGAGAAGAGCTTGGCTAGGTGAAGGACAGGCAAGGCAAGAGGACAAAAGTGATGGTGAATAAAGAAAAGTCTGAAAGAAAGAGAAGCCTGCTCAATAAAAAGAAAAGAAGATTTTTGGCTGCTCTTAATGGGATGGGAGGGGGCACGATGGCTCAGGGGTTAAGACACTGGGCTTGTCAGCTGCAAAGCTGACAGTTTGAGACCCGAGTGCCGCACAATGGGATGAGCTCCCATTACCCCAACTCCTGCCAACCTAGCAGTTTGAAAGCATGCAAATGAGAGTACATAAATAGGTAAATAGGTACCGCTTCAGCACAAAGGTTACTGCGTTCGGTATTTTCATGCTGGCCACATGATGAGGAAAGTGTCTCTCGGGCAATGCAGGCTCCCTCAGCTAAGATGAGCACCGCCCCTTTGAGTCAGTCATGACTGGACAGGGGAAACCTTTAAACCTTAAGCCTTTAGTGGGATGGGGCTAGCCCTAGCTGGTACTGTTCTTAATGGGATCTGGAAAAAACTATATATCATCTAGTAATAAAGCCGGATATTGGTATTATGGTTAATGAAAAATGTTGCCAGCCATATGGTCAAAATGGCTGTCTTGCAAGTAACTTTGCTGTGTAATAAAGTTTGATTTAAAAGCACAATATATTTATGTTATATGACATATGTGATACTTTTCATTCTGGACTTAATTCATGCACAGAAAGTTTTTAGTCTTGTAGCTGTCAGCCTAAGACTCACATGGCACTTGTGACAATTTGAGTTTGAGACCCTGATCTTGGCATTGTATTCCTGAATATTTAATTTGGCAAGAGAGATTTTAGTATATATTAGAATAATTAAAGTCAGTACCAAATTAAGTAATATTTGATTTCCCCATGGTTGCATATATTGGGATGTATTACATAGTCTAATTGTGTCTTTCATAAATAATATAGTCTGTAATCCCAGCCATACTGAGATCTTGAACGGTTTCCATGTGTTTACTGTTTGGCACTGAAATGGCAGTGGTGGCAGAATGATCCAGGAGAGTTGTGACCTTTAAAGACATCGCCATACAAATACACTGAAGAAGAAGAAAAATAACATGTTATTACAAATAAACACAGATGCGGCTAAAATTGTACTGCAAGCTTGTTCTCCACCCATCCACCCCCATATTCCACCACATTTAAAACAAGAAATGCCAACTAACAAGAATTAATTTCCCACTACTGCCACACACAGATAATTTTTACAAAGACCACGACATGAACATAATGTCAAATGTGTGTGCCTGCCTCAAACAGAATTCCTTACAGTGAACTTTAAGCATCTATTGCAGCTTAATAAAAGACAGCTAGAGAAGCTAAAATACATGGAGTATATGGAGGTTTTCTATTGTAAATAGATGGGATTAATTGCTCGTGTTTTACATATTCTTGATGTGGAGACCCCATGTAATAAACCAGATTAAGCAAACTGCCATTTTAAAGACTAAGAATTGGTAAATGAAAGAGGGGATACCTTTAATTTATTTGGGTTTACATGCCATGGTGGGTGCAACCTTCTATTCTGTGTAGATCACTGAACAGAGAGGAAAAACTAACTGCCTTCTGCCAAAACAAGTGCAGGGGCTATGCACCCCCATGGATTCTGTATAACAGGGTCCTTGATGCAAGTGAGCCTCAATTCTGTAATTCTGGGGGCAGTGCAGTATTCCATTCACTCGGTTGAATAAAATACATGCCTCTCACTTATTTTTTCCACCCTGACTATTTGTTCTCTTTTTTTTCACAGAAGCTATGAGGAGGTGTTCCAAAAGGTGAATAGCTTCAACTCTACTGTAACTAACCATGCTCTATTATAGCAGCCATTTAGTTGTCAAACTAGTCATCTGAAAAGTAAAAAAAGGACCTCAGTTGTAAGTAATTGCTCAAAAGGGTGAGTGAATCTGACTTTTTATTTGGCAACAAACCATGATGAAAATAATAATACATGGGCGATACTGTCTTGCTAGCAATCCAGCAGAAGCAGTTGACAACCCATATTCTCTGTAACCCATTACTCATTACCCAGAAAGGTTTTAATACGGTGGTTTTCTTTAAACCACCATAGTTTACAGAAAAAAGTTGGAGACTTTTCACAGCAAAGATTCAGAAGAATCTGCATATCTTTTTTTAATCACTTCTAACTATATTTATATTTGGCTATATTTTGATTTTGTGCTTTTCCCTCAAGGAACTCAAGTTACTACTGAACTCAGCATCATAACAGCCCTCAGGAGAATGACATGATGATCTTATTAAGACTTCCCAGTTAGATGCAGATGAGGGTGAACTAGAGCTTGGCTTTCTCCCATTTCAACTCAAAATCTCCAGCCACACCACTTAACTAACTAAATGTTACACAACGCAAAATCTTACCTGCAGTCATCTCCTCCTGTGCTGATCACATACTTGTCATCATGAGAAAAGCGTATGTTGGTGACGTGTGCAGAATGACCAAAGTAACGCTTATGTTTGGCCTGTCAGGAAAAGAAACAATATCTGGCACTGGACACAGTGTTACTTCACTCACAAATAGCCAGCTATATCTCCTTGCTACTAGAAGATACAGGTTGATCTCAGCTACTGATCAACCAGATGGTTTTCAAGATAAGGCACACTGACAAACATATACCAAAAAGGCAAAACAAGCTCACTTACAAATTTTTCAGTACATGGAAAATCAAAGAGTTTGACTAGCCCAAAGTCATCTCCAGAGACAATGTTCAAGCCAGCATGGGTCACACAGGCACAGTTGACATCTGCCTTATCTGCGTTTCGGGGCCAAATACCGATGACTTCATCCCCAAGGATACTGCTCCAAAGGAGAAAAATCAACTAATTAGTGAGGACATGACAGTAAAATGTCTTTGGGAGTACAGGATATATAAAAAAGGATTTTAGATAACATACTTTGGGCATTGTTGAAATAATGGAGTAGAATGCCTGTAGCAAATTCAAAAGAGGAGAGGGGCATTTTCTAAGTGTCGCTATTCTAAGTGGATGAGTTTCTCACTATCTGCTCACTTAACCTGCATTCTTGTTATTGCCTGCTGACTTTTTTTCATCTCTCAAGAGGTGGCGGTTTCCCCTTTAAGGGATGTACTCTAGTGGAAGATAGACCGCCATCTGTCAGGAATTGATTCATTTGGATTCCAACCTAAGCAGATGATCAGACTCAATGGCCTAAGTAGCCTCTCCCAATTCTGATCTGATGATGTAGGTTTATGCTCCTTGAATAGAGCTTTGTGCTACATCACCTTGTCCAGGTGGCCCAGGTGATCTTTCCAATAAATGCTGTATCTGTCACTTGCTTTCCTAATGGCACCTCATGGACTTGTCGTTTGTAGGCACCAGTTGATACCTAAGAAAGGAAATGAATCAAAATGATCATATGGACAGTGCTGAAATATATAGTTCTTCCAAAATGCACAGGTATAGTATAGGGGGTACCTTGCTCAATAGTAGTAACTGTGAGAGGGATCTCGGAGTCCTAATGTACAATCACCTAAATATGAGCCAGCAGTGTGCTGCAGCTGCCAAAAAGGCCAACACAGTGCTAGGCTGCATTAACAGAGGGGTAGAATCAAGATCACATGAAGTGTTAATACCACTTTACAGTGCCTTGGTAAGGCCATACTTGGAATACTGCATCCAGTTTTGGTCACCGCGATGTAAAAAAGACGTTGAGACTCTAGAAAGAGTACAGAGAAGAGCAACAAAGATGATTAGGGGACTGGAGGCTAAAGCATATAAGGAATGGCTGCTGGAATTAGGTATGTCTAGTTTAATGAAGAGAAGGACGAGGGGGGACATGATAGCAGTGTTCCAATATCACAGGGGCTGCCACAAAGAAGAGGGAGTCAAGCTATTTTACAAAGCGCCTGAAGGCAGGACAAGAAGCAACGGGTGGAAACTAATCAAGGAGAGAAGCAACCTAGAACTAAGGAGAAACTTCCTGACAGTTAGAACAATTAACCAGTGGAACAACCTGCCTCCAGAAGCGGTGAATGCTCCAACACTGGAAGTTTTTAAGAAGAGACTGGACAGCCATTTGTCCAAAATGGTATAGGGTTTCTTGCCTGAGCAGGGGGTTGGACTAGATGACCTCCAAGGTCCCTTCCAACTTTACTACTACTACTACTACTACTACTACTACTACTACTACTACTACTACTACTACTACTATTATTATTATTATTATTATTATTATTATTATTATTATTATTATTATTATTATTATTATTATTCCAGTGATAACAATTTTTGGTTCTCCTTGCATATTTTATTATATAAAATGTTGAAAGGTCTAACTGAACAGTGTGAGACTGTTCATAAATATTCATGGCAAATTTAGAATATATATGCTTGATTTATGAAACTATTTATACTTCCAGCAAATCAGAGCCTATAAATTTGTCTCATTTGACATTTTAAAAATCTGACCTTCTAGTCAGCTTACAAGTCAATCTAAACATAATAGCTATGGCTCTTTATATCTAAATTTAAGTTCATTTCTGTCTCTGCCAGTTCTTCCTTCCTGATGCTTACTATTCTGGAATATCAGTATCATAAACAAGAGGAATAGGAAGAGGTTATGAAATTTAAGATGTGTACCTCCTGCTCTTCTCGACCTGAGATATGAATTCTTGTCTGGATCAGGAAGGCTATTTGTTAACTGAAAGAAAAATCTTTACCTGAATGTATTTGCCATCTGCTGAAAAATCCATTTGAATGACAAAACTTGGGATGTCTTTGCAATAGCCGATTCGATTCAAGGTGGTGCCTTGTGTGAGATCATAGAAGTCTACAGTATGTTCTTGTGAACCCACTGCCAAAAACCGGTTATCAGGGCTGATTCTAGAAACAACAAAACAAAAAGAAGGTTCTAGAGCTTTCTGAGATGACAGTGATATTAAAAAAAATTAAACTGCAATTCACTATAATACAATCTGGTTAAAATCATATATGATAAAATCATATAAAATACAAATTAAAAACACCATATAAATTAGGCAGTAGCACAGTGGTCATGCAAAACATAAGAATTAAATTACAATTAAAAGTCAATTAAAAATGCTGGGAAAATAGAAAGGTTTTCACTTGGTACCAAAATGATGGTGCTAATGGGTATAAGCCTTAATGGGGAAGCCATTCCATTAATGGGGCACCACCATAGAAAATGCTCTTCAATGTGTAGAAGCTCACATCACCTCAAGAAGCCTGCAGGAGGGCCTCAATCAGTATCTTAAGTTCTATTTAGGTACACACAGAAGAAAGTTCTTCTTCAGGTGATCGTTAACCATTACATGAAATGAGCCATAGTTGTACGTTCGTTCTGAAAGCATTTCATGTAATGCTCTGAATTTTTAGAAGTAGAGAAGAGTCAAAGAGCATCTCTGTGTGCCTGAAATGAAAAGGCTGCACCCTACTGCCCCTTTCTGGTTAGTAAGACATGTTGAGTGAGAAGTCAATGCCAATGGATCTGGACTTTCAGCACAATTTTTTTTGCTGCTTCTTTTCTCAAGATTATACCGCTAAATCATGGCAATTCAATTGTTTTGCTGTTTTTACTGTTAATCTCTCAATCCTGCCCTCTCATAGACTGCAGAGTCTAATCTTGTCTTTCCAACCATAAGACCATTACAGTCTTTGCTAAAAAGAAATACAATCAAACAAGGGCAACCCTTGCCGCCAAATAGTAGTTTTGCCTCTGTTCTAATGCAGGCACTGCTGCTGTTCCAAACAGCACAGAAAGCTTCACATAAGCTTATGGAACTAGCAAAGGGCTGTACAAATGACACTGAGGAGAATGCTTTTTATCCATAGGCAGGATATATGGGAAATATCCAAATGTAATTGTAATACCCGTTATCAATCTAGAACTTTCATTTATTCAACCCAAAATATGCTTATTTTGAAATTCTGCTACTGAAATGAAAGGATTTTTTTTACAGTCCTCCCCCTAACCCTAACCCTAACCCTAACCCTGACAGTACACAACTTTGTACTTTTCTCCATAGTTCTTTGCAGTTCCAAGATTTGCTATTGCAAAGGACAGAATGTGGATTTTTTCATCTTTTACATTGCCTTAAGATTTCCCTCCCTTCCTCCATTTATAGATAGAGTCATAAGACTATGCCATTCAAACAATATATCTCCGGGCTCACATTGGATGAGTTTGGCTCACTGCTTAGAATTCTGGGGGAAGAGAAGTACTCTAAGACCTTGTTCTCTGTGTAAGTTATCTTTCCTTGCTGATGTAATCTCAGCTAGAATATTTTCAGTGCAGCCACTTCAGCCATTAAGCTGCAAGCCACTATCAAATGGCACGAAGCCAAGAACATCAGCAGTGATGGAATAAATAGACACACTTCTGCTCTTTCTCTTTCAAGCATTATCTACTTTGCCTGCTGAAATACCTGATATCCTGGATAGCAGATTTTCTATCCCTTTTTTTGCCCCAAACTTTAAGACTGTTGACAAGTAAAATAATAAACTCTCCATTCTTCATGCCAATAGCAACCATCTCGCCATCTGGACTGTAGGCGGCACATCTTGCAGCGTGGCCCAAATTAACTTTATTAAGAAGTTTCTGCAGGACAGAAATGATGGTATTTGGTTACAGTGGCTCACATTATTTATAATTTGTATTCTTTTGCTTTAGAATTAAAAGTTCTCATAGCAGTCTCTCTCTCTCTCTCTCTCACACACACACACACACACATACACACAGAGAGAGAGATAGAGAGACAGACAGACGGAGGGAGGGAGAGAGAGAGAGAGAGAGAGAGAGAGCGAGAGAGAGAGAGAGAGAGAGAGAGAGAGAGAGAGAGAGAAGCTAAATGCAAGGGGGAATGGCTATATCAGTGATGGCGAACCTTTTAGAGACCGAGTGCCCAAAACCCGCCCACTGCCCGGCCTGCTCTGCCCCTGCCCGCCCCCTGCTCTGCCCACCCACAGGGCCATGCACTGCCTCAATGGCCCGCCGTAGCAGA